GTGGGGGATCGAAAGAGGGTGGTCACTTGAACAAAACCCGATAACCTAACCTAACCTACCCTATTGATAAAGATATTTAAATAATGTTTTATATAACTTTCTCAATATTTTTATGTATTTTTCCCTTAGTTTTACCTTTTAATATTGTTTAAGAAAGACTATACAAATATTTGCATGGCTAGAAATGTATAGAAATTGGCATATTTATTAACTTTGAACCCCCATAACTTTTTATGGGGATGAGACCGCCTCGAACTTTTTATTGTACAGCGGTGGGGGAGACCTCCTCTTTCGATCTCCCCAATCATCTAGACCTTTACCTATTTATTTATTTATTACACGTATGATAAAAGACACAAGCACTTATATAATAGCAAAAAAAATATTAATAGATTTTGAACTGTAGTTCTTAGGCTTTCACGGTCGGCGTATATCGATGCCGTGTTTTCTTCCGGGCTTTTTGGCCGTGGTCCGTGGAATTTTACTTGTCTCAACGTTTCGCCGTTATTTGCTGACCGCAACTTCAGTAGTGACTCGGAAGGTGCTGAGTCGTAACTGCACCTGCCCAGTCACCACTGAAGATGCCGTCAGAAAACAACAGCGAAACGTTTGGAAAAATAAAATTCTACGGAAGAAAATACCGCATCAATACATTTTGAAATTAAAAATAAAAAGGAAGAGACCGAAACAGGCAAGTGTGGGTGTGACAATATGACTAATTGTAAGTATTACAAAAAATTGTAAAACTTCAAACACAATTAAATTTTAAGTTGTATTTATTCTAAGGAATTTTTCATAACTTTGTGCGAATTAAATTCAAAATAAAAGAAGCGTTGGTTTTGAACATAAATTCCAGCATTTTTAACACATTTTGAACAACAAAACATTGGAGAATATAACCAACAATGTTTCTTCTAAGTGAGTATCTATTTATTTGCAGCGTTGTTATTTCGAAGAAGAGCCATAAAAGAATATGCCGCCCTTACAATCTGTAATAAAATAACAGTTATTAAAGTAAGTAGAAGACAAGTACTTCGTAAGTAAGGTGTCCCAAATGTAACGTAAAAAGATGAAACACAAAACAACGACGTTAATTTAAACAGCAAATCGTGAAAATAAACTTTTATGACTTGCAAAAATACGTGATAGATGTTACTAGTTACTAACGAGTAGGTGTCTACCTGTCTATCGTTTCAAATTTTATTCAGCAATGAAATTCGCTTGTAATTACCCTGCATAAAATGGCTGCTCGTTTTGAGAAGTCGCAACTATACTCAGATTTTTGCACACATCAGGAGGTTGAAATAGTCTCTATATAAGTTGCATCAAAAAAGCTATATTTTTACTGTAGATGACTAATTACCTGAATAAAGGTGGTAAGCTGTACAGGAGAAATACTACCCATTGTAATGATAATAGGTTTCGACATACGTGTCATGACGATTAGCATTGACTTTTTAAAGGACTTATCTAAATCTAGCCATTTGTTAAAGTACAGAGATTCTCGAACCTTTCCGGCCTGTAAACAGTATGTAAAACTTCGTTATTATTTATTGTATACTATTTTACAATATGTGCCGCCTACCTCCTGGGTCAAGCGATCTCCGAAGTAGCAAAATAAAAAGGTTTGCTCCATACATGCGATAAAAAGCGAACAATATGATATAAACTTTGGGTCATTTCTGGGAGTCTGAAAGATTGAAAATATTCAGTTATTTATTTATTATTACGCATCACATAGTTTATTGGAATATTCACGATAGGTCTACAGTGCAGTAGTGATGGAGCATACTAATATTGTTTGATAAATAATTTCCCGGCAGAGGATTTAATTGTATTCTTTTGCACCCAACTTCACATTTAAGCCGTATCATTTTTATATGCTTTGAGAGCTCATATAGCAAAGCTTGTGTGTGAAAAATTCCAATTAATTCTACGCAATAGTTTTTAGTTGGTGCCCTTTTAAATATGGAGAGCGATAAGCAGCATTTTCGACATATCTTACTGTTTTACTACAGAAAGGGTAAAAATGCTGTTCAAGCCAGAAAGAAATTGACTGATCTGTATGGAGAAGGTGTGTTGACAGTACGCCAGTGCCAGAACTGGTTCGCTAAATTTCGATCCGGCAATTTTGATGTCGAAGATGCACCACGTTCGGGAAGGCCGGTTGAAGCTGATAAAGACGCGATAAAGGCATTAGTTGATGTGAACCGGCGAATAACAACACGTGAGATCGGATTGAGGTTAAATTTATCAAATTCAACAGTTTATGACCACTTGAAAGGCCTGGGATTATCCTCGAAGCTCGATGTATGGGTTCCCCATGTTCTCACAGAGAGAAATCTGTGTCGCCGCATTGACGTCTGCGATTCGCTTCTCAAACGTCACGAAAATGATCCGTTTTTGAAGCGCATCATCACTGGGGACGAAAAATGGGTTGTATACAACAACGTCAAACGCAAGAGGTCATGGAGCAAAAAAGATGAACCGGCTCAAACCATTTCCAAAGCCGATATTCACCAAAAAAAGGTGATGCTGTCTGTTTGGTGGGATTTTAAAGGAATCGTTTTTTTTGAGCTTTTACCGGATAACACAACGATTAATTCGGAAGTCTACTGTCATCAGCTGGACAAACTGAATGATGCACTTCAACAGAAAAGGTCAGAACTAATCAACAGGAAAGGTGTAGTGTTTCACCAAGACAACGCGAGACCTCACACAAGTTTGGTCACTCGCCAAAAGCTTTTACAGCTTGAATGGGATACAATGCTACACCCACCATATTCTCCAGACCTGGCACCATCGGATTATTATTTGTTCCGGTCACTCCAAAATTTTTTAGACGGTAAAACCTTCACCTCAAATGAGGAGGTCAAAAACCTCCTCGATCAGTTTTTTGCCAGCAAAGACCAAAAATTTTATGAGCGTGGAATTATGCTACTACCAGAAAGATGGCAAAAGGTGTTGGACCAGAACGGTCAATATATAATTTAATAAAGTATTTGTTTATTATACGAAAACTGTCTTTCATTTCCACAAAAAAAAAACGAAATGACTTTCCGAACAACCCTATACAAAACGATGCATGATACTGTCACGTGCGCATACGCAACCCGATATACGTGGCTACAAAGAAGATCAGGTTTCTAGACGGTGTATACTGTATCATTATAGAATATGGTCAGTCTCTATAAATAGTTGTCGCGTGATCGAGGGTAGTTAGTACGAGAACGAGTTCGAGGCAATACAAAGCGAAAAATAAGGAGCGACAAAATATGCATGTAGTGATGAATTCATAACTAATTAATAACAGAAGCGTTAATTCGACGGCAAATGGTTAAATAAAAGTAGTAATAATGAGAGGAGGTATTTAAGTACGTGACAATACTTACAAGGACTACCATTGAAAGTGACCCAGTAATTGCAACACAAGAACAAAATGTTTCAATAAGAAGTATGGTGCTGTATGTGTTCTCTATCAGATCACGATAACTAAAAAATAAATATAGGTTTAACGAACCGAACATTGACTTACTAATAATAACAATTTTAAGTAATTATATAAAATGTCATATACTGAAATATAAACCTGAGTATTTCTTGCAAATAGATAATGCATTTTTCGAATTCTTCTTTCATTGTTTTATTATATTCTTCACCTCTTAAGGTACTGTTCCTTCGTTTAAGTCTATGGGCTGTTCTCTTATGCATAGTTTTCAAAAAATTATTTAAAATTATAAAATGAATAGTTCCAAAAGTAGCAAAACTGTAAAACAGCGACATTGTCCCTACAAAATAAACTGATAATTAACTATAGATGTGATTTATTTGAATTTCTTCTATTATAAATGTCTTTTTCTAAAGGTCTATTTATTTTGTACTTCTAGTTTTTAAACTGTTTTCTATTTTGAAAATACGTTATTCATACTAAAACGGCGAAACATCATATTTGAGTCGAGTTGGGTTATCTCATTACAATGTTCTTGTAAACTGATTTAAAAAATCTGATTGAATAAGAACAATATAAGTTCTTGGTCAGTAATCTCACTGATTTGTCGAAACTGGAAATTACCGAACATGGATTGCGATTTCGACCTGATTAGATCTCATCAGTACGTCACAGGCACCCCTGATAAGTCACCGACCGAAATACACATTTGTACTCGTTTTACTGCATGATCAATTGTTTATTTTTAACATTAATTTTCAAGACTTGCAAATGCGAAAAATGTGATCTAGCTGGCCAGTTGTAATTGTCAAAACAGGAGATCACACGGTCAGCATGGATGGCCAGGAAATTAGTGTTTCAAAATCTCTTTGGATTTCCAAATTGTATAAGCGGTTCTCCGTCCTACTGGAAACTGCATTGTTGGCTCCGACGATCATGGAGACTTTGATACACCAATTTCCTGGTCGTGTGATCTCCCGTTTTGGTGATTTGAACTGTTGAACCAATGTTGAAAGAGAAGCTACGAACTTGGAGCTAGATGTTTTCTGGCAACAATTTAAAATGCCGTAAAACGAGTACAAGGGCGCATTATCTCAGGAGGTGGTCACTTGACCGATATCATTTCTTTTAACTTTTATATCAACAATTTTACACCGTCAGATAAACTTTCTGCAAAAACAGAACTTTAACAAACTGCAATATTAATTTGAAATCATTTTTTCGATTTTTTATTTACCCACTACAAACTACCTCAAATTAACGAGGGAAAAATTGTTGCTGTTGCCACATCCCCGCCGGGAATCGAACTCGGGACCTTTGACTTTACGCGCCAATGTTAATAAAAAATCAACGGATCATTAACCTTGTAGATCGGTTTGTCGTGGTTGCTGTTGTCACCTCTCGTAGTTTAGTGGTAGAACATTGATGCGTAAATCCAAAGGTCCGGGTTCGATTCCCGGCGGGGGTGTGACAACAGCAACAATTTTTCCCTCATTAATTTGAGGTAGTTTGTAGTGGGTAAATAAAAAATCGAAAAAATGATTTCAAATTAATATTGCATATTAATCCACTATTAAGT